CCTGATATGTGAATCCTTTGTCCCTTTCTCACTTACTAGATGCCTTTCAGAGTGAGTTTTCATAGTCTAATAATCAACCCCAAAATATTCATAATGAAGGGAAGACAATACCGTTGCCATTTTCACAGTCACATTATGGTATTTTTAGTGTATTGAGTACAGAAATTATTTATTAAAAGTAACACATGAAAGTATGAATAAAATATCTTTATGTACAAAGGAGGATTTTGACCCGGTATTTAATAATACACTCGCAAATTTCCCCTACATTAGTGGAAAACAATAAATACAAACATTAGCTAATATAAGAACACCGAGAAACTGGGAAAGTCTCCATGAATAAAAACTCTTGGTTCTGGAAACTTTAAACTCAAGGGACAGCCATTTCATCAGTAAAGCCATCGGCCTGGGCTGTCAGGTTAACTGCTCACAGACACCCCTCCTAAAATTCATTCTCCTAGGATTGTTCCTGTAAAATGCGCTAAGGTGCTTTTCCACATCTCAGAGGACAGGAGAGGCCCAGGATTCTTTTTGATTCCATCAGATTATTGTGTGTCATCTAGTTTATGGGGACAGGTGACAGGTGCAGACCGGCGAGCAGGACTGAGAGTCAGGATTGATTCCACAGGGCTTTCTCCCTTTCTACCCCTGGAGCCCAGAAGCTGAAGATTAAGCCTGTGCGGGGGGGGGGGAAACAGAACAGTTCAGATTCCGAAAAAGTGAAGCAGCAGCAGAGATGCTGGGCGAGATTGTCTCTTGATAAGAAAGGTTAGTGACTAGCTGAAGTTTTCCCACTTAGTAGAGTCACTTGAATGTCCCAGAAGCACTTCAACCTCAGCAAGTCTGAAAGGAAACCGCGACACTGCCTCCCAAACCTGTTCCCCCTCACTCTGTGATTCCAGTCTTTGCTGTTATCTCCGTGATCCATCCAGGCACTCGACCTGGAAGTGTGGGCATTATCTACACCCCTGACAGTCCTCATTCCCCAATGTCTACATTCACACAATCAGCACCTCTGGAGAACTGTATCTTCCATTCATTTTTCTGTTCAATTCTGCCTCTTCATCTCTCTCCCACTGTACCTGCAGACCTGGTGAAGCCCTCATCCTTTTTCTGGGGTATACTGCAATAGTCTTCTGTCTTCTCTGCTTCTGATCTTACTCCTCTTGAATGAATCTTCCACATTAAACATTCAGTGATGTGCCTCGAGCAATCTCATCATACCCCACTTTTGATGAAAGCCCTTCACTGTTTCTTATCACCAGTGGGGCATCATTTGAGGTCTGTTGCTCAGGGTGACATTGTGAGTAACTATTTCTTGGCAACTTTCATGCTTTGCTGCTGTGTACTTATCATGAAGAAGAGTGAGCAGGCAGCTTTCCACTTCTCCACAGGACGGAGAGCCAGGGCTTTGGTTTATGACTTCAGGTTCCCTTGTTTGCAGGACAGAAACATCATTCTCTGCAGGTCCAAAAAGGAGCAGGAGAGGGAAGCTTCTTTGTCTCAAGTGGGGAGGGCAATGGTCCACTGTGGCAGGGGGAGGATGCTGTGGTGCTGCTGATGGCAGTGCTGGTGGTTTGCCAGAGTCTGGGAGGAGGAGGATGCTGGGGTGAGGGTGGGCAGTGGGACCAGGGTCGAGACCTGCATCTTGCTCCCTCGCAGTGTGGTTGGTGGAGGCAGGTCCTTCGGGAGGGATGGTTGCACTGCTGCCTTACATGGGGCAGACCTGGACATGGGCTGCTGTAGCTTGGGGTCAGTTTGAAGACTAGAGAGTTGGACACGGGATTTACATCAAGACTTAGGCTGTGGAAAAGACTATTAAGTGGGATATTTCTAATGTCCCCCCAGAGCATCTGTGGCCGACAGGTGGTCCAGCACAGGCCAGAGCATGGGGTACCTCTAGAAGGAGAGCAATGATTGCAAGGATGACTGTGAAACAGTCCCCACTCTTAAATTCTGGACTTATTTCCTGGGTGCATTTTACATTCAAGGTCAGAGAGCCTTCCAAAATGAATAAATGGCTTCTTGATGGCATTAATAAAAAGGAAAGAATCTGATTTTATTCTGCTTAGAAAAAGAAAATATTTCATTCTCACCACATGAAGTCCTTTCTGATTTAGCTTAGCACAGGAAGCAAGACCTCCCACTATGTGGAGCCCGCAACTGTTTTGGCCCCACCGCCCAGCCCTTCTGGCCTTGAAATACATCTTCCAGGCCCAAGCTTCCCGTTATCTGAGGTGAAGGACCAGGGTGGTTTTCAAAAATTTCTAATCAGCTGCAAACTGATATTTTTTAAAAATACAATAACATGAATAAAATATTGAAGTGATATCAGATTGCTATCCCAATTTTAAATGCTTACACTCAGTTTCTGCACTTAATCTCCTTGCGAAACAGAATCACGGTTCACTGACCCTGCAGCAGATGTGTACACACAGCTCCTGGCTAACCAGTTACTCGTGATTTTTTTCATACACCATGCAGTCTCACAGTTCTTTGCATTTACACATGCCATTCTCTGTGCCTAGAAAAGCCTCGGTCACTTTTTTTCTTATCCTGTAAGTTTCAACTCAAATACCGTCTTTGAGAAATTTGCCATTAAACTTCAATGGCCATCTTTACATACCACTATCTTATTACTTACCATATTCTATTCAAATGATCTTATTTGTCTTTCTCTTCACTCCTCTAAGCATTGTGAGGACAGTATCCATGTCACATCCCTCTTTTTTTAATTTTTAGTTTGAGTTATTTATTTATTTATTTATTGAAGTATAGTCAGTTTACAGTGTTGCATCCGTTTCTGGAGTACAGCATAATAGTTCAGTCATACACATACATACATATATTTGTTTTCACATTCTTTTCCATTATAGGTTACTATAAGATATTGAATATAGTTCCCTGTGCTCTACAGTAGAACCTTGTTGTTTGTCTATTTTACATATAGTAGTTAGTATCTGCAAATCTCAAAGTCCCAATTTATCCATTCCCATCCCCTTTCCCACCTCATCCCTCTTAATACTTGGCCTAGTATTGGCAAGGAGTGAGATCTCTGTCACTTTTTCTTCCAACGGAACCATAATCGTCTGTGGGTGAGTTTCCAAGTGAAGTTAAGAGTTTGCAGCATCGATCAGCTAGGTAAACATCTAGATTTGTTGAGCAGGATAATGCTCATGATGAATGGTGCATCAATCATTTTTTTGCAAGATCGGAAACCAATATAGGAACAAACTGGAGTTTTCATCAGCATGTACTCTACACTGATAATCTTTCTCAAGAAATGGATTTTGCTTGCTTCATTAGTGATTTTATTTATTAGTTGATAGTTTCAATTTGAATCTCCATACCAGTATCAGCGTTTGCTTTCTTTCAGACATTATAATCTCTAAAATTCAGTGTATTGGCTTCAATGATAATAGAGAACTTTATGGTCACTGAATCTCTCACAACCCTAACATTTTATAAATTTGTAATTCTTCTAAAAAATTAATGGTCACTTTAATAATAAAGTATCATGTTAGCTTCATTAACCATACTGACAACACTTTATAAACAAAAGAGCACAGTGGTCTTAGGAGAAAAGATCATTCTGTCCTCATTACATAGATGTGAAACCCAGTGCAAAGCATTGCTAAGAAATGCGTTCAGGGTCATGCATTAGGATCGAAAAATAAATCTCTTTACTTATGATGCTGTCTTTTCAGTCCTCATTATTTCATTTTAAAATGTAAGAAAAATAATTGAAAAACGAGTTAAGTTCTTCTGGAAGTTTACAGAGATGCTTTTAGATTATCAAGGGTATCATTTAGAAAATAATGGAAGTACAGTGAATTGTACCTGGGAGAAAAATAGAAGTGGGTAACGTTTCACTTTGTTAAGGGTCTGTGGGATGAGACTTTCATACAAGCCAGTGGTCTTGCTGCCCCTTGGTTCTTCATTGAGCCGAAGCGCCCTTCCTTACTTCCTAAGCTGTCAGGTGGCTTGGAACAGGGCTGACCCAGATGTACCAGGTCCCCTCCCTTCTACAGCCCAAATTAGTCTCAGAACATTCAAATGGCTTTCTGTTTAGTCCTAAAATTGTACCCCCTCCCACATTTAACATTATCTTAGACATGTTTACACGTAAATAAAAATTGTCTCAAGAATTACTTTTGCTGGTTGTATAATGTCATCGATTGGTTGAAACATAATTTATTTGAAATTTCCATACCATTAGACATGCTGTTTCTAAATGTTTGCTACCGTTCCTTGTATTTTAATCTTTAATCACATTCAAATAATTTCCTTATGAAAAGTTCCTAAAAGTGAAGTTACTAGCTGACAAATGTGAATATTTTAAGTCCCTTAGTTAGTATTATCAAATAGTTCTTCAGAAAGATTAATCCAATTTATACTTTCAAATGCAGCATATGGAATAGTTGCTTCACCAGTATTATTTTTTAAAAATAAAAGAAAGAAAGCTCAAGCAAATTGAAGGTTATAATTTTTTTGATCTTAATTCATATTTTTGATTAGTAATAGTATAGGACCTCTTCTCTACTTTTATATTACTATTTCTATTTCATCCTCTATGAATTGTCGGCTCATTTTTAAATTTTCCAATTCGTATAAATGCCTTTGTATGTTTAGGATATTAATTAGTTGGCCTCATATTTATGACAAACATTTCCCCAATTTATAATTTATAATTTTCTTTAGGATAAGTTTTTTTAATGTTTGGAGGTTTTAAGTCATGATGTGGTAGAATTCCTGCCTTTACTGTTAAATTTTCTTATATTGTTTCGTGTTTTGAAAATTCTTAATCAGACGTGTAGTAAAATCTAACTGATCTTCTTTCTCTTTTTTTACCTGCAGTTCTTTATACATTTTCCCTATATAGATATTATTAGCTAATGTCCTCACTTTCACACTCATTATTACCTGGTTTGTTCAGACCACTTGCTGGCATCAATAAGAAAAGGATGTGTTTGCCTGCTCTACATTTTCACGGAGAAATTCTGGCCTCAGCAGAAGCTCTATGTAATCAAATCAATTCCTTTAGCTGTGTTATCCTTGTCACTCCTTGTTATAAGAGAATTAATCTCAGAAGAAGATAACAGACTATTTGCATTGTAAATGGGCACAAATATGTATAAAAATACATACAGCTAATATGTCTCTAATCTTTGTGTCCAGTGGCCTTCAAAACATGACACAAGTTGTTTTTGCACTAATAGGCATTTTGAGGGTGCCATCAGCTACTAGCTGGGACCAAAGTGAGTTATACAGGAAAAGTTTAAGCTAAAATAATCATTTTTTTATTCTTAAGAAATCATGGTCCCTAAATTATAGCAATAAATCTACAGTGAAAGGATAATATTTTCTGAAGCTCCTATCAACCTTCCTCCTGTGGACATAAAAGTCTCAGAGATTTTAGAACTAGTTTGATGAATTGTATCAATCATGTCCATATAGCTGTAAATTTTTTTCTCTAATTATTTTCTTATTTCTTGTGTCTGATTTCATGTTCTCACTAGACAAAGCTTTGCAGCGAGGGCAAGGATCATAGATGAAAAGTATTTTGGAATTCCTGTCTGCACTGCCAAATTACATTAAATATAATATTCTGCACAAAATAGATGATCATTATAGGAAGCAGTAAGCATTAAATACATCTAAAAATTTCTACTGAGATGAAAATTTTAAACATGAGTGAATGTTTCTATCAGGGTTTGCTACTGAGTACAGATCCAAAGACTTCTCAACTTCTTTTCTCAACTTCTAGTTCTGATAAATACGTTCCTACTTATCCTGAATTTCTGAGTTGGTATCTGATTTCTAGCTGATAACCTAGAAAGCAATTACTCACTGGTTACTACATTTAAAGTACAGTGGTTGCTGAGAAATATATTGAAAAAGGGTGAGACAAATAGGCAATAGAATTAACAGATGTCAAATGTGCTTCTTCCCATTACTTTCTGATATTTACCCTTCAGAACATCGTTATGTAATTCCACAATTACTCAGAAAGGCGACAGAAGCAATTTGCCTCTGCAAATCAAAAGACATGAAATCAGACACTAGGAATATTTTTGTAAAGTACAAAAGCTGAAAGAAAAGGGAGCTGGAGGATAATTCATTTTGTCCTCGTCTCCTATACACTTCTTTCTCTTTCCAACTGAACAGAAGACTTTGTCTTCCTCCAAATTGGACAATTAGTCACTAAGATTTGAGCATTCTGATCATCTAGAAAGCATCCTTGTATCAACCACAGGGTTGCAAAGAAACCATAGCTGGTATGGAAGGAGGTTTTCCATGCACTAGCGAGGGCTGAACCACGAGTCTCCATGAATTCCTCAAACTTCTCTGCTTCTTGACTCTTGCATCTGACAGTCCTTTGCAAAAAAGGACAGGCAAACTTCCCGCTTCCTCTCATCCTAACCCACCCCTTGCTGGATGGAGAAGGATGAAATTCTGACACTGATGCATATGTCTGGATGACACACACTCCTTTGTCTATGTCTCCGCTCCCTGTCAGAGAAGTGTGGCTGGCATCACTTACTCAACAGACACTCGATGAGTATCCGTAACAGCGCTGCATTAGTGCTGGGAAGTAGACGTGGGTAGTGGACATAGCAGTGATATTCCTCCCAATGGACATACCCAGCATGACTACCATTGTGGTCAGGCCAATTCTTGGCATATACCAATTTATTTGTTCTTTTGCCTTTTTACTGTTAGTTGCCAAAGGCCACATTTTCCTGCAGGTTCTAACAATTACCAAACACTAATTGGGAGGGCACTTATTCAATGCTTCTTGTGAAAACTAAAGTCGGAAGGAAATTTTCTTACCCAATTCTAGGAAAGCAAACCACAATCGCACGCTGAGCTGGGAAGGGTAATTCCCGTGGGCCTGAAATTGGCCTGACTGCTGTACTGAAATAAGACATGTACCAGCGTTGCACTGACTCCTGGTCAAAGTGTGGAACCTGCAGAATAACAGTTGCTGCAGAAAACCAGTATCCCAAGTTTTGAGCAGTTTTAATTATTTATTGATTAGCAATAATTGTAATGAGATTGATCACTTTGCATCTGCTCTCACTGAGACACCTGGAGGGCTCTGTCACTCATGCAGTTATATAGCTGGAATATGCCTATGTGAGTATCTGGGTACAAGAAACCCTGGTGGAGAGCGTACGTTGGATCACTTTGTTTGAGGTACTCTGTGCACACACCCATGGTTCCCGGTCCCAGAGAGAAAGCACATCCCGGTACGGTCCTTAGCCGGGAGGACAACTGGCCCTCCTACCGGGCATCACTGGACCCCTAGCCCTGAGCCAGCCTTTGGCTGTGACGCACATCCTTACTTTAATGCAGCTGCTGCGTCATACTCTCTTCCTGCAATAAACTGCAAGTTTGTCAGCACTGACATTTTGGGTCCTGT